CTATCCCCTCCCTAACTCCCCACCTACACTCACCTTTACTGGCTCCAGCCCGCCTCTTCGACCTGTTTGTTTCCTCTCTTCTACCCATCTTCTTTCTGCCTCCCACTCTCTCCCTATTTATTTCAGAACCCCCTTCCCCTCCCCCTTTTCTGATGAAGGGTCTAGGCCCGAAACGTCAGCCTTTCTGCTCCTATGATGCTGCTTGGCCTGCTGTGTTCATCCAGCCCTGCACCTTGTTGTCTCGGATTCTCCAGCATCTGCAGTTCCTACCAGCAAAGAAAACGTGTTTGCCATTAGCCTCAAAATTGGTTGCAAAGTGAACTCTGTGATGCAAGTCTTCCCATTTTCAACTGTAATTGAGTCTGGTGTGAAATCCACGGGATATCTTGGCAAACAGTCCGAACAATATGCGCAAACAGAGGTTTACAGCCAATCAGTTGAAGATGTTTCAGATAAAAATTAAAACAAGTTCAACACCACTCATCATGAAATGTCCAGATCATGAAATAAAATATGATTTGGGTTTTGAGGAAAGCTAAAATAAAAATATATTTACAAAACATTTTTAAAGAATGTGGACATTTTTATCAATGTAGAGAATTTTATGTTCCACAAATATAAGATTAGTTTTCAAGGAGAATGAGGATATTTTACAGGTACTCCGAAGTCTGGCTTTAAAATGCCTAGCGACACCGAATTTTTCAGGGTTTCAACAGCAAGACTGACAGAACCTTTTGACAATCCATCGTTAACTTAGAGCTTCAAGTGCATGACCTCTGGTGAAGCGCAAAACCATTGACAATAAGTTCTGGAATTCTCCACCCTGGAGGAAAACAACCACTAAAAAAAAATGGAACCTCAATGTGACAAGTTTAACTTTTAACTTTACTGTTTTCTCCTCCCCTGTCACTGTGTCTGAGCGGACTTGAAAAGTTGCAGTCAGTCTTGGTGAAATAATTATGTGAAAGCTGGCAAGTTCGCTATCATTACCAAAACTCTTACTACACTACGGTTGAACCAAATGCTTAATGACCCACAAAGTGCTTTGCTGACGTCCTGAGGTCAGAAAGAAGAGCTGTAAAGAATGTCCATTGGACTCGAATCGACAACTCTGTTTCATCCTCCACAGATAGTGCCAGATCTGTTGAATTTCCCCGGCAATCTCTGCTTTTATATTACAGTAACTGATTTTTATTTTTTCGGTAATTCAACTTTTTTCATTTCATCGTTAGGCTTGAAGGGGGCGCTCCAACACCATAATCGATTACAGCTCTCTGATTGGTTACAACCTCCTAGGCGGAAGTTAGTGGATGTTTCTTCCAGGAAGTGCTGTCATTTTGTTGGCGACTGGAGCCAAGTTCAATGTCTAGTGGGTTCGGGCATGGTATGAGGAGAGGGTGTGATCTGAGCTGAACTATTTGTGTCGAGAGGTTGGACTTGCTGCTCTCCGAGTCTCACTATATATATCCTCCACAGCGGCTGCTGCTGTCTGCAAACAGTGAAAGGCAAATCCCTTGGAGGAAAATGGTAATAATGTTTCCCCAAACTGCGACCAGCAGAGGTATTGTGAATATATGAGGTTGAGGCAGCGCCGATTTTAATGCATCGATTCGAACCAAGCTGTACCTATCCCTTTTAAAGCAAAGATTTAGTATCAATTCACGAGAGGATCGGGGACGCGGACTCTGCCTTGTTTGATTTGTTCATGCTCTCTGCTGTGCGGAAATATTGAAAATTACCTTTTTCTTTCCTTTTTTCCTCTCTGGCTTTAGGTACAGATGTGAACGTTAGGAACAGCTGTCAGCATTCATTATACAAAGAATTGGTAAACATGATGGGAAATATTGTTATCCTTAGTTTGATAGTGACCATATCCTTGTCATTTTGGATTGTGTCTATGACTGTCAGCACTTATTATGGTAAGCGCATTGTTTTGTTGTGTGTGTTGGAAAACATATAAATCCCTTTCGTAACTTGGAATAAGCATGCAATATGTTTGACATTAAACATTTAATTGTTTAAAACTACTTAATAAACCCCTGAAGGATTTGAGTAAGTGATGAAACACTTTCAAGTTTGTTATGGCATTAATGAGCCTATTTACAATAATATCTCCAACCCGGCAAGTCTTGGTTTTCAAGACGATGTCAGCTAGTGCCTTGATGAATGTTAAATTTCAGACTCATGAAGTCCATGATTACACTACAGTTGAGGACCTACAATTGATTTTTGAATCCCTGTAATACCACTGGAATGCTATACTAGGTTGTAAATACACCTTCATTTCACCATCAATAATTTGCACAAAATATGTGTATTCTTACAAAAAAATTTCCTTATAGAGAATAATCAAAATTGATTGACTACTTTTTTTTAAAAAGTGCTGTGGGTTTTTAAAAAGCATAAGACTTGATTCTGTCAGATTTTCACACTCCTTTAAATTGAATGGGAGATAATTGACAGCACCATGATTCTTTTAAACATCAGATGTAAATGAAGAAACACTTTTGTACATGAAAACATGGTCACATTTTGAAAATGGTGATAGGAATGGTCAGAACTGTTTGGGGTGGTGAAGTAAGAAAGTTGTAGATTAAACTAATGCTATTTCTGTGCGGAATCAGTACTCTAGCACTAAATGGACAACATTACAAACATACCTTTGTTGAATTGTTGAAAACTAATGTAATAGTTTTATAATTAAACATTTTCTTTAATTAATCAAGTTTGCCCTTCTTGTTTCCAAATTAAAGCATGAAATTTCAAGACATTTGTTATTGATCAAAGGAAATAGGAGTAGATTATTTGGCCCCTTGTCTGCTCTACTATTCGACTAGGTCATGGCAAACCCTTTATCCCGATGCCAGTTTCCAATGCTATGTCCATACACTTTGATATCTTTAACAGCTAGAAATCAATTGATCAGATGTTATTTCTTCTTTGCTCTGCGTATATTTGATCTTTAATTTTATTAATATTATTTAAATCTATTTTTGCTCATAAACTGCATGTTTCAGTTTTCATCTGCAAATTTCATTGCTGAAGAAATTCTGCTATTGACACTTTTCATAATTGAAAAACAAAACAAAAGTCAGCAGAGGATGTTATCCAGTAGGTGTTGAATAAGGCTGTGTTAACCCATTGCTGATATGGTATGCCTGAAAACAGAAGTTTGCTTTATCTTTCTCTTTGTCTTCAATTATGTTTCTCAAACTTTCTTCCATAGATAAATGCTTTCCTTTTAGTTTTACATGACATCACTGGGATTAGGGTCTAGGACAGTTTTCCCCTTGACAATGAACGTAATGCCCACAAATGCTTCACTTTGTGTGATTCTTGAATAGCAGAATGAGGCATGGCAACCTCGCCCTGTCCTTGCTAATCTCAATCTTCATGTCCTTCTCACATGACGTATTGTGGTTGTTTTGATGTGGGAATGAAAGTGGAGTATTGGTAATGAGACTGAGAACTTCTGGCAATGATCGGTTCAGAAAATGATTGGAAGATGTCATGCCATTCTGATACATACTATTTGCTAATTGAATTTATCTTATTTGTTGATGGAATGTGAGTATCTTTGGCTAGGCCAGCATTTGTGGCCCATTCCTATGGCTCCTGAGAAATTTGTGATGAGTTCTTGCCTTGAATTGCTGCTGTCCATGGGGTAGGTATAACCAGTGTTGGTCGGTAGGGGGATTTCCAGGATTTTGGCTGAGCAACAATGGAAGAATGGCACTCTAGATCCCAGTCAGGTTGGTGTTGGTTTAGAAGGTATGTTCCTATGCATCTTCTTCTCTTTTCTCCATCGTAAAATGGGTATGTGCAATGACCATCATTTGCAACTCCTGACATACTGAAGCAGTCTTTCCTAATTCGAGCAAGTATTGCAGATTTGGGTTGACAAGTGGCAAGTAACATCAACACCCTGGGGGTTACCAATTACCAGTAATGGCAGCAGTTCAAGAAGGTAGTTCACCTCCACTTCCTTATGGGCAACTGTTGATGAGCAATAAATGCTGACTCAGCCAGTCATGCCTACGTCCCATGAATGAATTTTTAAAAATCATCTGCTACCTTGATCCTTTTAGAACAGAAGTTGTTTTGGAAGGTTTTGTCTAAGGTACCTTGGTGAATTCCTGCGGTATATCTGGTAGATGGCACACACTGCTGCTACTGAGTGTTGATGGTGGAGGGAGTGAACATTGAAGGTGGTGGGCTTGATGCTAATGAAGCAGGTTGCTTTTTGCTGAATGGGTCCAGCATCTTGAGTGTAGTGGAGCTGTATTCGACCAGATGTGGAGAATATTCCTTAGCACTCCGGACTCTGAACGTTGTTGATGATGGACAGGCTTTTAAGAGTTAGGAAGTGAGTTACCTGCTGAAGAATTCCTAGCTTCTTACCTGCGCTTGTAGCCACCTAATTAAATGGCTGCTCCTGTTTAGTTTCTTTAACGTAGTATCTCCCAGGATATAGTTTTAGCTATGGTCATGCCATTGAAAATCTCAGAAAGGTGATTAGATTCTCCCTAGTTAGAGATGGCCATTGTCTGGCACTCATGTGTTATGAATGCTACTTGTTGCCACTTGTCAGCCCAAGCCTGGACATTTCACCACATATAGGTGCTGACTCGAATAGTGTCTAAAGAGTCGTGAATAGTGTCTAAAGAGTCGTGAATAGTGCTGCACTGACATTCCAGGACCGCAGCCCATCTCCTTTATGTCACATATGACTCCAACCAGTGGAAAAGTTTCTCCGATTCCCATTGACTTTAGTTTTGCTTGCTAATTTTGATGCTATATTTATCATCATCAAAGCAACATCTGACAACAAGGGCAATCACTCTTAGCTCACCTCTGTAGTTCAGATTTTTTTGTTTATGCTTGAACCAAAGCTGTAAAAAGGTTCCAAGCTGAGTGGCCCCGGGGAACCTAAATTGGGTGTTAGTGAGCAGGTCATTGCTAACAAATGCTGCTTGATAAGGCTGTCAACAATCCCTTCCTTTACTTTGCTAATGACCGAGGCTTGATTGATTGATGATTGACTGTGTTGGATTTGTCCTGCTGTTTCTGAACAGGCTATACATGGGAAATTATACATTGCTAGGATGATGCTGGTATCCTAGGTAAAATCATTGAAAAGAGTTCTGATTCATGGCTTGATCATTGTAGATCTTGTAAAAGATAAAATATGTCAAGACTTTTGGTACTTTATTACTATTGGCTTGATCTTTCCTTTAGGTACTCTACCACCTGTGTCACCTTGGCGATGGCTGTTTTCTGTGTTTGTTCCACTTATTATTGCTTCACATGCACTAAAGAAGCAAAGCCTTGATCGCAGTGGAGCTATTGGAGGTAAATTTTCAAACTAATGTATCCAATTTTGATGTTTTACTTTTTCTGCCATTCAATGTTTACTGTCACACTATCTAATATGTATAGTGGTTGAATTTACAGGACTGCGCTGGATTAGAACACACACATTCGGTTCCTAACCATGACTGAGACATCCACAGTGTTCACCAGAGTAACACAGACCTTATCTCCACAAACAAAGAAAGAGACCATTCAATTCATTGTGTTTCATTTTTAGGGAAGCTTCAACATATTGCCATTGAGTTTGTACTTCAATACTTGTTCCATTGCCTAATAATTCTCTCAATTTAATTTCTGTTTTGAATGAAGAAATTTATAAGGAAGTAGCAACAATTTGTATTTATATTGGCAAGCATGCCTTGAGTAGCACTGGCCTGGAGTTTCCTCTTTTGGCCTCTGTACCTCCTTTGCATCACAACATCCCAAGGCAATTCAGGACCATTACAAATATGTTTATTTGGTCAGATGATCAAAAGCTTGGTGGATGAGTTAGATTTTTAAAAGCCTCTTGAAAGGAGATAGGGAGATAGAAAGGTGCAGGGTGGAAATTCTAGGCCAATGCAACTGAAAAAATGCTTTACTGATTTTGGAGCAATTAAAACTGTAGATTTTCAAGCGGCCAAATTTAGATGAGTGCAAGTATCTTCGGGTTGTTTGGCTAGAGGATATTGGAGATGGAGTGGGGCAAGGCAATGAAAAGGATTGGAAACATGGTTGAGAATTTCAAAATCAACATGTTGTCAACAAGGAGCCAATGTAGATCAGGAGTGATAGGTGAATGGAAACATTTTGTGAAAGTTAAGACATGGGCAGCCGAGTTTTCAATGACTGAGTTTATCAAGGGTAAAATTTCAAAAACTTATCCTTTTATCAAATGTGAACATCACTGACAAGACCAGAATTTTCTACCCATCTTGAATTGAGTGGTTTGCGAGGCTATTTTAGAGGGCAGTGGAAGAGTCAGCCGTCCCATTGTGGTTCTGGAGTTGCATCTAGGCCAGACTAAACAGATTTCCTTCCCTAAAGGACATTAGTGAACAAGATGGGTTTTGACAACACTTGACAGTGGTCGTCATTAGATGAAATGACATGGTCACCATGAGGTTAGTTTTTATTCTGGATTTTATTTCAGAACTTTATTGAATTCAAGTTTCACCATCTGCCACGTTAGGATTCAAGTCATTGTCCCAGAACATTAGCCTGGGGTTTCTGGAACCCTAGAACCACTACACCATTGCTTCCCCCATGAACCAGTGTCTTGAAGATTTAGCTTAGTCCGCTGGATTATTAGTTTGATTATATTCGTACTTCACTATTGTCAACCTGTAATGTGGAGATCAGTCAGGATTGTGTTGGAATCGTCTAGTCCAGATATAACAAAGACAGGAGAGAGAATTTCCGAGGAGATGAACTGAAACTGACCATAGGAGCGGAAGTAGGCCATTTAGCTGATTCAGCCTGTTCTGCCATTCAATTAGCTTATGACTGACCTGATAATCAACTCCACTTTCTCCAAAACCTTTGATTCCCTTACTAATTAAAAATCAGTCCCTGTCAGGCTTGAAATACTTAAGAATCCTGCCTCAGCAGCTCTTTGCAATAAAGAATTCCACAGATTGACTATCTGAAATAAGAAATCCTTCCATTGTGTCTTAACTGGGAGTCTCTTACTTTGAGATGACACCCTCTAGGTCTGTGCTGTCCCACAAAGGGAGACAAACTCTTTGTATCAACCCTGTCAATCCTCCTCAGATTCTTATAGGGGTGTGGAATTCGGTTGGGTGAAGATGGGCAATGCAAATGAAATAGAAGTAGGTGGTCTTAACAGTGGTGTGAATTGTTGGTTGGAACTTCATCTGAGTTAAATATGTTGCATTTAGTTTCAGCCCATTGCTGGGGATGGAAATGAAGTTGGTAGACTGAAACTTGAGACAGTGGTTTCAATCTTCCCAATTTTCAATTGGAGGAAATTAGTTTTGGTTTGTACATAAGTGTTGCATTCCAAGTCTGAAGACTTGCGGTATACTGAAGATCAAAGATGCTTAAAATTGCCTGGGAAGTTAACGGAATCAAATGCTTAATTTCTTGAAACGGATGCAGCGCATGGTCTTAATGAAAACAGATGGATCTTTCATGAGTTTATTTTGATGCTGCAATCTATCTAACAATACATTGCAATGAAGATTAAGCATGGTTTAATCCTTAAAAGTTTGAATTTTTAAATATCTTGTTTAAAAAATATAATGAAAACATAAACAAAAATAGAAATTGCTGTGAAAACTCAACAGGTCTGGCAATATGTGTGGAGAGAAAGCAGTTAACGAGGTCACTGGATCTGAAACATGAACTCTGCTTTCTCCCCACAAATGCTGCCAAAGCTGCTAAGTTTTCCCAACAATTTGTTAGTTTGTTTCTGATTTCCAGCATCTGCAGTTCTTTAGTTTTTTTTTGTATAATGAAAATATGTTTACTATGTGTAAAATGAAAATACAGAAAATGCTGGAAATCGGATGTAAAACGCAAAAAGCTGAAATAAACAGCTCAAGTGGCATCTGTGGAGAGAGAAACAAGGATAATAACATTTCATATATCCTGAAAATGGGAAGAGTACTGTATTAATGCAAATTTATCTGTATTTCAGCGTAATTTTCTTTCTTATTAACAATCAGCCATGACCTCATTGAAAAATGACCTACTTTTTGTTCCTGACTGAGAAAGTTGAAACTGAGACTACTTTGTAGAGCAGCATGCCATTTGGTCTATTATGCTGAAATGTCTTCAAATGTTTCATTCTATCATATACTTTGCTTTGGTCAGTTTCAAGAGTCCCTTGTGGCAAGGAATTCTACCTTTTTTTAAATAGCCTTTTAAGACTTGTATATGGGGAAACAAAGTCTTACAAAATGCTTTCTAATCTGCTATTTCAATCCTAAATTTGCAATCCTTACCAATTCAACAACCAGTGGAAATAATTTATCAACATTTAACCTCTCAAATGCTATCAGAATTTCCACCTATGTCTGTTTCAGTGAGCGAATCTGAAGGTTTTCAAGCAGCTCATCAAACTATGTTGCTTAATTCTAAGTGTGAGTAACTAGACATCACCTTTCTCATAAACTCAAAGTTTACTATACATATGAAGAAGAAACACTCTGAAGAATTTTGGAAAAGTAGATATTGGACTGTCATAAACAACTCAGATGACTTGAATTCTGTCCAAAATGTTGCACTGGTAGATTATTTCTGATTTGGTTAGAAGAATAATTATATTTTTCATAAAAGTAATTCCTGTTTCCAGTACAATAGATTCTCAGCAGTTGCCCAACAATGCTCTTATTTAGTTATAGCTGTAATGCTTCCCTTTAATTTTGGATATGCTAATCTTGGATATGTCCATTCGTATCCAAGGGAAACGTGTTATTTGTATGGCAATTTTTTTTATTCTTACAATTTTTCTTTCCAGCTTTGATTGTTGGGTTCATCCTTACAATTGCCAACCTCAGTTTCTTCTCTTCATTGCTAACTTTTTTTGTTAGCTCATCTAAACTCACAAAATGGAAGGCAGAAGCTAAGAAACGTTTGGATCCAGATTATAAGGAAGGTAATGCAACCAACCCATGTCCTTTTTGCATAAAAGAAAATGCTTCTGTTTACTCAATAAACAAAATAAGCAGAAAACCTGAAAATACTATCTGTACATATTGCAATGTTTGTATTTATAACTTGTTTAATCAATGTAAATATTTAAATATTTTGGCATATTTACAAACAAATTTGTCGCTTGCTATATAACTTGTACTGCTATTTTCTCATTTCGCAGAACTACAGCATAGAAAAGTGAAATAGGTGATGTTTTATCTGTTTTCCTTTCTACCCCTCCCCTCCTTTGCTTCAACTCCAATTAGTGGACTTCAAGCTGTTTATAGCTGGTCCCACACCCTAAAGCTTTCCCTAAACTATTCCACCTTCTCTATGTCCATTGTCTCCATCAGGACTCTCAATATCTGTCTCCTCTGTTATGTTGCTGTAGCTCCCCAACGTTTTTCTGGTCCTGTTTTCATTACTGATTTACCCAAAATATTGAACTAAATTAAGGAATTGCAAGGCTATTCACAGTCACAAAGAATCAAAGAATTATTGAGGCCATAGAATGGCCTCCTTCTGTGCTGTAGCTATTCTGTCCGTGTCTCATATCTGCAATAGCATTTCCCTCTCCTCCACACCTCCCTGTAACCCTGCAAGTTATTTTCTCTTTACATGCTTGGCCGTCTTCTTTTTGGAAACTCTGATTAAATATCAAGGAAATGCATTCCAGATTCTAACTGTTTACTTCATAAAATGTTTTCCCTCATGCAGTCTTTTGCTAATCACCTTTAAATCAGTGTCATCAGCTTCTTGTATTTCTGCCATTGAAAACAGGTCCTGTCCATTTACTCAGTCTGCACCCCTTGTAATTTTGGATATCTATACTAAATCTCCTCTCAACTTTCCCTTCCCCAAAGAAAACAGCCCTGGATTCTTCAACAGGTCAAGCAGCATGATAGGAGCAGAGAGGCTGACGTTTCGGGCCTTGACCCTTCATCAGAAAAGGGGGAGGGGAAGAGGGTTCTGAAATAAATAGGGAGAGAGTGGGAGGCGGATAGAAGATGGATAGAGGAGAGGATAGGTGGAGAGGAAACAAACAGGTCGAAGAGGCGGGGATGGGCCCAGTAAAGGTGAGTGTAGGTGGAGAGTTAGGGAGGGGATAGGTCAGTCCAGGGAGGACGGACAGGTCAAGGGGGCGGGATGAGGTTAGTCGGTAGGAGATGGAGGTGCGGCTTGAGGTGGGCGGAAGGGATAGGTGGGAGGAAGAACAGGTTAGGGAGGCAGGGATGAGCTGGACTGGTTTTGGGATGCGGTAGGGGGAGGGGAGATTTTGAA